AGTTATTGTTTTCACCCCGTTTTACAAAAATCGAGTTTTCATCAGATCTCGACGTTTGAAGGTCACAGGAAGCTTCCCTGACTATTTTTACGATGATGTCCGCACGTCTGTATGTGTGTGTGTGTGTGTGTGTGTGTGTGTGTGTGTGTGTGTGTGTGTGTGTGTGTGTGTGTGTGTGTGTGTGTGTGTGTGTGTGTGTGTGTGTGTGTGTGTGTGTGTGTGTGTGTGTGTGTGTGTACGTCTGGCTTTCTTGGAAGCACGGGGATACGGACTTCTTCTTGACCCAGCTATTGACGGGACATGGGCAGTTCAATGTTTATCTTTTCAAGATGGGTTTGCACGGCACACCAACGTGCAAATACTGCCCAGACAAAATTGACAACGTCGAACACACGTTTTTCGGGTGTGATCGGTGGAAGGACGACAGAACCAGCATCGAAGAAACAATAGGCACCACGCTCTTCCCTGAGAGCTTGGTAACCTGCATGATAAAAAAAGAAGAAAATTGGTCAGCTGTCGCAGCCTACGCGCAGCGCCTTTTAAAAGAAAAAATCGCAGAAAGGGATTAGAAACCAGTAATTAGTAACAAGAAGTAGGTGTCATGAGACACAACATGGACTGGATTGAAGTAATGCTAACGCGGTCCCGTTCCAGTCATCCCTGTAACATCTATAGGGAAAGGAGAGAGGAGGATGTTTAGTCGGTATTGTTGCAAATATTGACTTCCGAGTCCGACATACCCAGGCACCAACACCTAGTCCTGGCAACAACACCAAGCCCTGGCATACGTAAATGTATTTTACCTCCTCTATAAAAAAAACACACACACACACACCGTCGTACGGACATCATCGTAAAAATAGTCAGGGAAGCTTCCTGTGACCTTCAAACGTCGAGATCTGATGAAAACTCGATTTTTGTAAAACGGGGTGAAAACAATAACTTCCCGATTTTTGAAAATCTGAGATTTTTAGCGGGAAGTTAAAAATTTCTAAGTTTGAGAATTTTTTTTACTTAAATCAAGAAAGTCGAATTTTTCAAAATTATTTTCTTGATTCAACTTAAATTTTTTTCTGTGTATCTCTAGACACTTATATGCGCACTAGGGTGTGTCATTTTTAGGCGATATTTCTTTTTTTACTGCTATACCAGAAAATCTGGTAGTATATAGAACATAAAATATTATGCCGCTGAGTTAAAGGTTTTAAGTCCAATAGCGGCTTAGCTCATCAAAAAATTCGATTTCCCTTTTAAATAAGGCAGGGAAAATTTTTTTCTTGTTTCAAGTGGACTTTTCGTTATTAAAAAAATTTTTTTGGAAAACCCTCCTTGTGGCTTTTCTAGGAAATTAAATTCTCTACAAAAATATCTCTTTGGACGAAGACTGTAGAACCATTATTTTCGGTTATAGCCCGTTAAACGGTAGCATTAAAAAAATACACATTAAATTCCATTTAATTTTCAATTTATTTCTCTTACATGAATTTTATTGTACATTTTTGAGCATCAAAATTTTTAATTGAAGTATTGACTTGTTTCAATATAATAATCTAAGTCAAATTATTATTAATTAATCGTTATAATTACAAAAAATTTCATTTTTTCATTTATCTAAAAATGGTAACATTAACGTCTGCTTGTTAGCATTTGGAAATTTTTTTCTGTGCATAGCTACTACTTGCAATAAGTACTGTTTCTGCTCTTCATCAGCAGTTAATCTTTTACTGTAGGCTTCCATCAATTAGACCGCCCGTTCCGCAGTATCATTAACAACGTGTAAATTTTTCAAAATTTTGAGGCACGTATTGTAACTTTTGTCAGATATCCACTGATCAAGATGTAAATTTAAAAAATCAGTTGGGAGTTTCAACTTTTTAAAAATAATCATCGACTCTTCTGATGCAAAGTCATACAATTCTTTGTTTAGTAAGGAATTAATATTAACATTTTGTTTTGTCGAAAACTATCCAATGCGGGATATTTCTCGTAATTGTTTTAAAAATATGATGAAGTTGGGATTAGGAAGTTAAATAAAAATGCTTGAATTTTTTGGGGAACAGTTTAGATGGTTTATTTGTCCCCAAAGGAGGAAACCCAGCTAGGCTGGGAAAAACCTCCTTGTTTAAAATTTATACAAGTAAATTGTATGTGTGTAAGTGTGTGTGTGTGTGTGTAAATTACGTTGCAATAACGCAATAGGGGTGAGCTCAGCCGCCGTATAAAGAAAATTATCGATCATTTAAATTTGTATTGTCCCAAGGTGGGAGCTAGTAATATCTAATTAATTAGATGAACTGTCTGTTACGTTCTCAAAATTTGAGATATTTAAATTTAATTATCATTCAGGCTTAGCCGCGTTAGGTAGTCGACAGACTCCAAGTGGGCCTTGTCACTAGACCCTCTCTCAAAATTATAAGAACCTTAGGAATGGTTTTATTGAAAATAAATCAACAAAATTTCGTTAGTTAAAATATATTGTAAAACTTAATAATTTGGGTGGAGTCTGTTCATCTCCGGACATAAGTCCGGGGCCGAAGATGTTCATCGGCTGACTTACTCAGGCTGACTGCTCTGGATTTGCATCCAGAGTACAAAGAATTATAAAAATTAATAAAATTGACAACGTTGCACCTCAGGTTACCCTAGAGAAGTCGTTGGAGTCCAGCTCTCACGATGTTTAGGCTAGAGCCCGGCGACTCTCTTATCACAAGCGATTTCCGTTACTTCGCTGATGATGAATTTTATTCATCATCAACGAAGCAGTTAAAATTTTTGAATTAAAAATTTAATTAAATATTATAAATTTAACGAGAACGTAACACTGTCTCAAGGCAAGAGCTAATAATGTTCAATTAATTAGATGAATTGTCTCAAGGTGAACGCTACTAATGTTCAATTAGTTAGATAAATTGTCTTAAGGTGAGAGCTACTAATATTCAATTAATAACAGATCGTTAGTTAATTGAATTTAGGTTTTCATATTCGAATTAATCAAATGAATTTAATTTCAGAATGGAAATGTTAATATTTATGATTAAGTAAAAATAGTAATTAAATATTGGTAATGAATTCAATATTAATATCGCGTGTTAATTAGAGATTGACTAAAGCCGCGTGGCTGATGCAATCTTTTGTGAATATGGCGCGTAATGGCCGCGTGGCGTCACTAATTAAATCTACTTTGATTTTAGTTATTCTAATTCACTGAACTATTAAACTGATTTGAATGATTTGAGAATGTAATTGTTATTAAGTTGAAGTAATTATTTATGTTTAATGAATAATTTAAGTATCTGAATAAATGTGAGATGCAAGTAAGAAATATTAGAATCGATTGACACAGAGTAGTCGTACTAGTACAAAAGTCCAAGCACAACTGTTGCAGCAGACCACGCGAGCCGGCTTCTTTACCGCTAACCAAGGCGCGCATGAGCGACGGCCATAGAGTGATACGATTATTCCCGAGTTTTAACGATTAAGCCCGAAGGCGTAATTCTTTTTATAAGTATTTGACTAGATCTTTTTTCTAGCGGTTAAACAGATAGACACACTTTTAATCTTGTAATATATAAATGAAACTAATAAGATCTTTACTTGAATTATTTTGAAATCAGTTATGAGATTCGAGTAAACATATTACTCACATAAATTTCGTTTGTTACAATTGGGATATTTTTTGCGATGCTCAGCAACAACTTGTAATAAAAACTTTTTTTGTTCTTCATCACAAGTGAGACTATCATTATATTTATCAATTAACGCTACAGCTCTTTCGGCAATATCACTTACAACTTTTATTGATCGAACAATTTCTAAAGAAGCCTGATACTCGTCATCGAATTCCCATCGATCTACAGGTAAATCAAGAAAACTTGTAGATAAACCGAACTTCTCGAATAAAACTATCGACTTTTGAGTAACAAAATCACTTATATCTTTTGAGCCGAATGATTTTAAATCTTCTTGTTTCAAACATAACTTTCTCGTATTTTCTGTCGTACTCTGTCGATTTTTTATTGCTTGAACCATTTTTATCTTGATGGCCGATGGAATTCTTTTATCGAAGAATGATAATGCCACAAGATCTTCGGCCAAGTACCAGAGATGTCTAAGAAATTTAGTTGATGCAGCTTCGGAAAATTTTACGTTTATGTGTTTAAAATCTAATATACTACTCAAGAACATGAAATCCTGATACGGAGCGTAGATACTGATTGGTGCATTATACCAACCTTTGATATAAACATCGACAATAAAGATACAAACTTGTGTTAGTTTAGGAAGCTCGACTTTAGCAAGTTTAAATTGACTTTTATATAAATAAATTTTTAAGCAGTAAATTGCTTAAACCATCGAGCATGATGGTGTGCTCCAGGAGTCTTGAAAGAAATACCTTGAGGTGGAACTTCTCCCAAAAATATACAGACCAAAGTTAAGAGCTCTTTATAATCCCCTCTAGGTTGGAATTCCTAAAATAATCAGAATATTTTTATTGATCCGTTGATGATACTTGTCGTATAAAAACAAAGTAATATTTAGTTGATTAAGTTTACCTTCATTTGATATGAAATAAATTCCAAAATATCTTGTTTTTTATCACACAAAATTTGCTTGACATTCAGATCATCCATTCCTGTTTCAAACTGGGACTGATCAATCGTAGACTATTCTCGTTTGAATCGATTAAAAACTGCAGGAGTTGGACTACAAGACACAGGCCAGACAACTTCAGCAACACTTTTTAAAACTAGCTCATAAATATGATGCCGACAGGGAAACCAGAGCAATTTTTCATTCAAAGCTTTCTCAATGTATACTGCTGCTCCATTCTCATCACCTTTAAACTTAATTAATAATGATCAATACAAAAAATCGATGAGAAAAATCCAATGACGATAAAGCATAATCTTTGGCTTAGAGCACATAGTTTTAATCTAGTTGCACAAAAATGTAATACCTGAGTTAACGTAGGCAGTGTCGAAGCACATTCCTTTAACATTATTGACAATGTCCCATCGTTTTAACTCTGCGACTATCGAATGAGCTTGATTAAATCCTGTACCACTGTTTAATTTTGGAACTGCTAGAAGTTGTTCATAATTTAGACCTGATAAAACTATTGGAAGTCTGTCAACTTTCTGAGTACCACCACAATCTGAGAGCAATTTACCGTCCCAGTGTAATACTAAATTCTGGATAGCAGAATTATTATTTTTTATATCTGTCGCCATCATTTTTCTCATTTTATTACGATCTCTATGTATTGACCTATGGCTAACATTAATTTTGTTAGGATCATGACCCAAACTTTTTGCGACAGCGATAACGATATAAGCAGCATTTCTGCTAGAGACATTTGATCTGTCCAAAGCTGATGATAATTCGGGAGTCATAATATCTATTTTATTTTCATGTGAACTTTGCGGAAGTTCGTCTTCAAAATTAGATATCGTTCTTTTTGATGCTCTTGAACAAGAACTAGAAGATGATCTGCTCAATTCTTCAAAAGAAATAGATGTGTCAGATAAAGCTTGACTTAAGACTGAAAAAAAATATTGAATGATTAGATTTTTAAATAATAAACTTTAAGAAAAATTAGATTTTAATGTCTTGTCAGCATATAAGAAGTTAATAATAATTACCATTTTCATCAATGTCGTTCTCTATTGGTTCAAGAGGAAAACTTTCATCTTCTACGTCATCTGGTATTGGTGTTAACCGGCCTTTACTTCTTCTTACTAACGAAAACAGTTTTTCAGGACAGGAGTCATGAGATATATCTTTTTTTAATCTCACATCAAATAATTCATTTAGTTTATCAGTAAATTTTTTTATTTTCAACAGATGAAACTCCGAATGTTTTTTAAGTCGACTTTTATCTAAATTTCTCCATTCTGTAAATAGCATTTCCATTTTTTTTAATGCATGTTGATGTTTTATCAATGGTGTATTCATATCACTCCAAATTTCTTGAACTTCATCTATAATCTCTGCAGCACATTCAGTAACTGTCTTCTTTAAGATCTTATGCTTAAACATAAAATAATTCAAAACGTCGCCATTTTTAGGCAGCTTGCGTGATGGCAAATTATTATGAACGGCACCCAAAAGATAAACACTGTTTAAACTATTTTCCGACATAGCTAATAAATCTCTACAAAACGAGTAACAATTAATCTCCGAAGATATCAATATAGTCTCAAATTTTTAAATAAATACTAGTCAGCTGTCAATGTAGCCAACTTTATCCAACCAGCTGTGACGTATATGTTAACGACATCTATTAAATCATGTTTGTAGTTGCACACTGGCGGGGTTTTTAAAACTGCCGTTTCGAGTTACGAAGGCTATAGAAGAATTAGTTGACGAATAAAAATGACAGAAAAATATACATTTTATTAATTTTGAAGCATGAATAATTTTCAAGTCAATGAGACTTATAAATAAAAAATTAATCTTTTTGTCTTCATTTTATTTGGTGATAAAATTATTTTTAACTTCTATAGTACCGTACTAAAATCAATTAAAGCATAAAAACTAATTTTTTAGATCATAAATATTCCTTAAAAAATTGCATTACTATGTTCTTTTCGTTAGGAAGTAGTTTCATAAGTGTTCATCAATAATTAAAAATAAAAATTATAGAACGAATTGTAATTTGATCAGCTATAAAAAAAAAACTGTTGATTTTTTAAGTTCGATAAAAAATCATCTTTGTAAAGAATTTAATTTCCTACAAAACCATACCAAGGGTTTTTTTTATATTTGGTATATTAAATTGTCTATAACGAAAAAATAAGTGAAAAAAAACTTTTTTTGGCGAAAATTCTTATTTTTGCGAATGCTAACTTAAAAATGAAGATAGAGGGCTCAAATTTTGACACAATTTTTTTTTCGTTACTCTCAACGAAATTTTGATATGAGACCGAAAAAAAAAAAATAGTCGATTTATTTGGCACAGTCTAATAATTATTCTATCTCGTCAAAAATGATCCAAAAAGAAATTTCGACGTTATGTGAAAAAAACACTTTTTTTTCGAAATTTTTTGTTTTCAATAACTCTCGAACGAATCAACCGATTTTGATGGGAATGGTGGCAATTGACGTGGTTTAACGAGTCCAACCGCGATCGACGTATCTTTTCAAGTTTAAGAGCTTATTAGTTTTTGGAATTGATCGGTGAAGCCATTGAAGAGATTTTTTGAAAAAATATTTTTTTTGAAATTTTTCGTTTTTGATATCTCACGTACGAATCAACCAATTTTGATCGGTCCAACGGTGATCGACGTGGTTTTTCAAGGTTAAGAGCTGATTAGTTTTTGAAATTGATCGGTAAAGCCATTTAAGAGATTTTTAGAAAAATTTTTTTTCTTCCTTCTCTTTTCTTAAAACGAATAAAAATAAGATAAAAAAATTAGAAAAATGGTTCACCCTAAAGGCCATCTGTGCAACTTCCCGCTAATTCCATTCCTGGGCGCGTAAAATTGTACTTATGACATTTTAAAGATTTTTAAGCTCAAAATATAATTTATGTGATATTTTGAGCTCGCTGAGCTCAAAGAAATAATAGTTTAATGCATTTAAGCTCTCCCAGCTCAAAAGTCTGATAGAAGTTTCATAGAACACGATTTTTGGAATTTTCAAACCGCAATAACTTTTGAATGGATCAACCAATTTTCACGCGGTTGGCACCATTCGACGCAGTTTTATCAACCTCATAAGTGATTTCAGGTTTTAATAGATCGAACCAAAAATTTCGGAGTAATCCCGAAAAAACACTTTTTTTCGGTTTTCTTTCGTTCACGCTATCTCTCGAACGAATCAACGGATTTTGACCGGATTGGCGCCGATCAGCGTGGTTTTTCAAGCTTAAGAGCGGATGAGTTTTTGAAATTGATCGATAGAGCCGTTTAAAAGATATTCCAAAAAAACAACTTTCAGAAATAATTTTTTTCTTATTTTTTTTTGAGATTTTTCAAAATCTATCGGTCCGAATCGATTTAAATAAACAGGGAATCTAAGTTTGGCGAAGCGCTTTCGAATGGCACCAACCACGATGAAATCGGTTCATCCGTTCAAAAGTTATAAGTGATTCACATACTTACACACACACACACACACACACACACACACACACACA